CAGACACTGTCAACCCGTCTCACTGAGGGTCTTCCTCTCTTTCCCTGACTCCTTACTTCACCAGGCATGATGGCCTTCTCCAGGGACCGGTCCATCCCGATTTCATGTCCAAAGTACATGAGACGGAGGCTTGCTATCCTTGCTTCAGAGAAGCATTCTGGCTGTGCTTCTGCAAAAACAGATTTGCTCATTCTCCTGGCAGTCCATGGCATATTCAATGTTCTTCACCAGCACCATAATTCAAAGGCGTCGATTCTTCTGTCTTCCTTATTCACTGTCCAGCTTTCACGTGCATATGATGCAACTCAAAGTACCATGGCTTACGTCAGGCCATCTTAGCCCTCAAAGTGACATCTTGGCTCTTTCACATTTAAAGAGATCTTTTGTAGCAGATTGAGTAAGAATGCTGAAAGGATCCATACAACCCTGATGTCTTTCCTGATTGTAAACCAAGTGGTATCCCTTTGTTCTTTTCAAATGACTGCCTCTATGTACAGGTTCTACTCAGAGAAACAAAAACAAAAGCAAGTATTTCCAAGGGCAAAGTGTAAAGAAAACAAAGGTAACCTAAGGCACTTGACTGCTAACCAGAAGGCTGGTGGTTCAAACCCACCAGCCACTCCTCGGAAGGAAGGTTGGGCAATCCTACTTCCGTAGTGATACTGCCTCGGAAACCCAAGAAGGGGTCGCTATGAGTCGGGGCCGACTCGACGGCACATAACAACAACAACAACAACAATACCCTTTTATGCTGCACTAGCTTCTCTCACCATTAGCTGCTTCTAACCACAAATTTGAAATAAGTAGAACAGGGTGGGCAAAGCCACATTTTTCTGTAGAAGGTGTTTGTATTTAAGTCCAGGGCACAACAGAAATTTTTACTGAGGGGCCAAGCTATGTTCTATGACAGAGACTATTTTGTAAAGACTCAAAATGGAGTTACTTAGGACAAGGGGACATTTGGCCTAGACCCTAGCCAGAAATCCTGGTCATGTTAAGAGTATTAGTGTTCAGAATGTCCTTCCTTATAATCGATAGAGGGTTCACTGGCTGATTGTCAGAAGCCAGCAGGCTTGTCTTCCCAGTTTATCTTAGTCTGAGAGCTTTGCTGTGACCTGTTCACTGTTATAGCAACAGAAAAGCTTCCACTCATGGATGGATGGTGGCTGCACATGATGTGCCTGGCTGGGACTCAAACCCAGGCATCCACTAGAGACAAAAATTATACCACTGAGGGCCTAGGCCTGACAAAAGTCCCAAGGAGAGGATAAGCATCTGTAAAGACACATCCAACCAAGTGCAGCGGTTGGCTGGTGCCTACTCAGGCCTTGGAACCCTAATCACTGAGTTTCTAAACCCTTTACTCAGTGAGCTCTGGTAGTATAGTGCCTAAGGCATTTGACAGCTCACCAGAAGGTTAGCAGTTCAAACCCACCAGCTACTCCTCGGAAGGAAGACTGGGCAATCTACTTCCATAGAGATGCTGCCTCGGACACCCAGGGAGGGGTCGCTTGAATCGGATCCGACTCGAGGGCAGTGAGGTTGGTTTTGGTTTGGTTCTCTTTTTTTTGCTTAACTACTGTGTCAGCTTGTACTCAAGCACTTAATCATTATGTGTTATGGGAACCAGGAAGATATGAGGCTAAGGAAAAAACAAGAACTAGTTTTAGCCAGCTTTGGCCCCCACGCATGGGGAGTAAAAAGGAGCTGTGTCCCTTGAATGATGCGCTGAGAACATAAGTGCCATCAGGAGACCAGAAGGAACCAAAGTGCAAGGAAGGTAATCAGAAGCAAAGGTTCCTGTCCAAAGGAAGTCCTGCCTTGCTTTGAACATGCATTAGGTTTCCTAGAAAGTATTGAATATGCTTAATTTCCTTATTTTTGAAACCTAGAAATTGTTACTTAAGCTTTGGCTTGGGGAGTCAGGCCTGGGGGAGATCCCCAGGCTACTTGATGTGAGGTACCTCAATAAACCATTTTTCTTTCACCTAAACCCTGATGCCTAGTGGATTGGCTCATTTGTTCATCAGGCGGGACCCTCTTTGTCCTATAAGAACCTCATCAGAAATGAATAAGCAGCCAGGCCTGAAGAACTCAGGCTTCTGGTCAAATGAATGTGAAAGGGAATCTAGACCCTGTTGTCATGGGCTGTGTGACCCTGGCTAACTGGGTTGGCCTCTCTGAGCCCAGGGTCCCCACAGTGACTACATGACAGATGCTGGCTTCCTCTTCACACCTGGGCCCTCAGCAGACACTGGGGTAGGATGGGTAGGTCAGGGGTACCTGGTGGCCAGATGAGGAATATGGGCAGGGTTAGCTCTCACCAATCCTGATGCCTTTAACAAAAAGGGCAAGCTCAAGCCTTTAATTACAGTTGAGGATCTCTGCTGGGAGATAAAGAAATACTTTATGATCCAGCAGTCCGACTACTAGATACGCACCCTAAAGATCTAAT